GGGGGGAAAGGCGCACCTTGGAGCGCACCGCCTCCACCAGCGTCAGCACCGCACGCGACCGCGCGCTCGACGGCCGGTTGGCCGGCAGGCTGCCGTAGGGCACGCCGCCGCCCACCAGCCCGCAGCCGGCGAGCGCCTGCTGCAGCTGCCCTGGCCCTGGCCCGAGCGCGCTGCCGTCCTCTGCCGCGCAGCTCGTGCCGACGCTGCCCGCGCTTCCGACGGTGAACGCCGTGCTGCAGCTGCTGAGGCCGCTGCTGCCAAACGCGCCGCCGCCGCCCTGGTGCTGCAGCTGCAGCTGCAGCGCGCCGCCGCGGAGCGGCGGCCCGCCGCTGGGGCCGCCGCCCAGCGCGACGGCCGCGGTGGGGCTGTTTGGGCTGCTGCAATCACTGCCGGGGACAAGGTGAGCCATGTGCAACCCGGCGAGCGCGGGGACGCGATTGTAGGACCGCCGCCTGCGAAAGCTTCCGCCCGGGGTGCCATCGCCCGGGACCGTCGGCACGGGCGACCCGCAGCCTGGGAGCGCCGCTACCGCGGATGAAGAGGACTCGGGCAGCAGCGGCATGCAGATGGCGCTGGACTTTGTGGACAGCTTCCGCGTCAGCTGCAGCGGGTGTGGCAGCGGCGCGCCGCCGGCGCCGCTCAGCGCGCCGCAGCTGTGCGGCGTGCTGCTGCTGCTGCCGCCGCCGCCGCTGCCGGTGCTGCCCGGCGGGCGCGGGCGGAGGCTGTGGGAGGCCGCCGCCGCCGTCGCGGCGGCCGCAGCTGAGAGGCTGCCGGCGCGGCCCTCTGGGGCAAAGCGGCTGGCGGTAGGCTGGTGGGGGGACTCGATGCTCGCCTGCGGCGGCGGTGAGCGTGGGGCCGGGGCACGCGCGCGTCACAAAGAGCCAGGAGCGTGGCTGCAGCAAGGGGCGCACACGGTAGGCCCATAATCTGTGCTTAAATATCACACACACACACACACACACGCGCGCGCGCGCGCGCGCCCGCCCGTGCGCTCTTGCGACCGCACCAGCCCCGCGGCGCCGCTGCCGCCAGGGACGACCCATCAAGGTCCCACGCCCCCACAAGCTCACCACCGTGCAGCCCGAGTTTGGTGACAGCGAGTCCGGCGTCGGCACATCAAACAGCCCCAGCGCCCCGACGCCAGGCGATGCGCCAGACCCCTCCGGCTGCCCTGAGACGTCCAGCGGCGGGCAGCTGAACGCGGGCACGCGTGCCGCCAGGGAGCTGACCTGGCCGCCGCCGCCGCCGCCGCCGCAACCGCCGCCGTGCTGCGCCTGCTGCTGCTGCTGCTGCGCCAGCTGCTGCACCTGCTGCTCGGCCGCCTGGTGCATAGCCAACAGCTGCAGCTGCTGCGAGCCTGGCATGGAGAACGCGCGCCGGGAGTGCGGAACGCGGTCTGCGGGGGAGGCAGGGTGCAGGTTGGCCAATGTGTGGTGAGCAGGGAGAGGTGAGGCCCTCTCTGAGGGTTTCATGTGACAGAACAGCCCTGCGCGCTCGCAACTGCCAATACGTTTCAAACAGCAAAGGGTTAGCCGGCAGCGGGAAGCAGCTCTTGCAGGGGGACAACAGTGGCGGCCCACCTGGCGAGTCGGGCGCCACAGCGCCCTGCTGTAGCCGCGCACAGGCCAGCGCCTGCGTCGCCGACTGCGGTTGCAGCATCCCTGCGTGCTGCTGGTGCGGCGGGGCGTGCTGCTGCGCGCCCGGCTGCTGAGCAC